GTGTTTTCAGTTGTACCTAGAACCTCTGCATACCCCAATCCCCTCCCAAGTACAAGGGTACAAGGGGCGAACCTGAAGTAGACTAGCAGTGTGCTTGAAAGCAAAGTCATTTATATAGAAAGAGGGAAGTTATCCTTGTGGACATTTTCTTACAAAGCAATGGGCACCAGAACAACAGAAGCCACTGGTAGCTTGGTGTGAACAACAGTTACTCTGGATTCCCATTCACAGTGGACTCACCAAGGATCGTGATACAGGCTTCTGAGCTTGAGATAAAGCTAGCTCAGTACAGCTTTCTGGACTTCCATTGGGCGCTTAGTCACATGGAATAGATAGATTAGAAATAGATATAAATAGAGATATACATCATTGGGCTGTGTGTGTGTGTCTATGTATCTCCACCCACTGGTTAATTTTGAGATTAAATAAATAAATAAAACAATAATACTTTTTGTTGGAAGATACTAATGGTCTAGTTTGTTAAGATCATGTAACAGAGAGTAATATTATTTGGACACAAAATTTTGAATTACTTATGATTTTAATGAAGAATCAATTATTTATTTTTTATTAAATTAGAGGTAACATTTCCACATATTTTGGCTCATCTAGTAAAGATAATATCTCTTTGATCACTCTGAAGATTTATTATGGACACAATTTATTATTAAGACACAATTACCGAAATTAAGAAATAATTATCGTTAAGATACAAGTTATTAAGATCATTTATTTGAAAATGATTCTTGAACTACAGAGTGCTACAAATGCAAGCTATTATTTTTATTTTGCAGTAATTAATGCAAATTCTATTTAAAATGTAGCATTTTCTTATATTTCTTAGAATGAGTTACTCAAAGGAATGCTTCTCTTTCAATATGAAAAAGAAAAAAGTTTCTGGTACATCACTGGGGGAATTAAACTCTTATTGATGGCTTTATTGTTGGGGTCAATCAGTTATTTAGTAAACTTAAATGCTTCATATGCTAATTAAACAAGCAGCTGAAAATTAGAAGGTAGCATCATTAACTCCAAAATTCAGAATTTGTTCTCTGGATACGCGAGATTAAACATGCTTTTAGAGGAATGACTTTGTTTCCATTTTATCTATTCCTCTGTTCAACTTTCACACTATTACATTATTTGTTCTCAGAGATCCCTAGGCTTTTGTAAATTTATAACATTTTCCTTCAAGCAGCATTTTCATTTCTGCCCATCAGAAACTAGAATGAATAACATTCATAAATTTTTTATATTAAGAAACTGAAAGCAACACCAATGTCAATCACACAGGCTATCAATTATGGCTCACTATTCTTCATTTTTTTTTAAGATTTATTTATTTTTACTGCAAAGTCAGAGATACAGAGGAGGAGAGACAGAGAGGAAAGATTCACTCCCCAAAAGACCACAACAGCTGGAGCTGTGCTGATCTGAAGCCAGAAGCCAAGAACTTCCTCCAGGTCTCCCACACGGGTGCAGGGTCCCAAGGCTTTGGGCTGTCCTTGACTGCTTTCCCAGGCCACAAGTAGGGACCTGGATGGGATTGGAACTGGCACCAATATGGGATCCTGACAGGTTCAGGGCAAAGACATTAGCAGCTAGGCCACCACGCTGGGCCCTATTCTCTACTTCTTAACTCTTAGCTCACCTTTTTGTTTGTTTTTTTGTTTGAGTCTTAGATATCTGACATAAAGGCCACTTTTCTCAGATTCTGTTACAGCTAAGATAAAATGTAAGGATGTGAGGAAAATTAGTGTATAGAATGGAACTGTTGGCTATTCCTGGCACTTAGGGAAGGCTATGAGATTATGTGGTAGCATAGAAGCCCCGTATTTCAGTCATACGTGACATAAAGAAACACAATTCTTATTCACTTCAGTCTTACATTTATTTTCTCCCTTTTACAACTCAACCTAAAACTAAGAAAATAAGCTCCCTAATTTGGAGGAAAATATTTATAAAAACCTACTCAAATGTTAAAATCAGATTGCAAAATAACTGTTACAAAATGATCTCATTCTTATTAAAAACATTATCTGAAAGCACACTGTATTATCTGAAAGAGTGCTGTATTAGCTACAAAAACAAACAAACAAACGATCCAGCATAATAAGGAACCAACAACCCTTGTAAGTTTAAAATAATAATGCATGCTTCTTGGTCGGGCAGCTATTAGTTGTCTAGGGATTTCATAAATATCCAATAGACGCTACGGATTTCGTTCCAAGTTATCAACCGAGTGCAGGTCCTCAGTTACAATTCTTATCCTCTTTGGGTGAACAATCTAACTTCCTTTTCTATAAACGAGAGAAGGAAGGAAGAATTGGTATTTCAACCCACTGCTAGTGTCACATCTGGTAACATTCATCCATCACAAGCCAGCTGCAGGGATAATCCCATCATGGAGACGCAAGAGAGGGTATACATCCTTTAGTGGGAGGAGATGAAGGGCACACGAGAAATGACACAGACATGGGACCTTCCACCATCACAAAGCGAAATGGACTGACCGACTTATAGGATATATTATTTCCTACTGTTTGAAATACAGTTTTATTTTTGTTTATAAGAAATAAGACACTTATATTTATAGAATGAGTTAATAGAAGTGTGGCTTTAGTTTTAAAGATTTATGTCTTTTTATTTGAAAGGCAGATTTTACATAGAAGGAGAACTAGAAAGAGGTCTTCCAATTAGCTGGTATACTCCCAAATTGGCCACATCTAAAGCTGAGTCAATTTGAAGTCAGGAGCCCAAATTTTTTCTGGATTCCCTATGTGGGCATAGGGTCCCATGAACTTAAGGTATCCTCTGCCCATGTAGGATGCCGGCACAGAAGGCAGAGGACCACACTGTTACACCAACACACTGTCCCAATACAATTGCATTTTTTTTTTTAAAGATTTATTTTTATTATTTTTTATTGGAAAGGCGGATATACAGAGAGGAGAGACAGAGAGGAAGATCTTCCGTCCGATGATTCACTCCCCAAGTGAGCGCAACGGGCCGATACTATGCCAATAGAAAGCCAGGAGCCTCTTCCGGGTCTCCCACGCGGGTGCAGGGTCCCAAAGCTTTGGGCCGTCCTCAGCTGCTTTCCCAGGCCACAGGCAGGGAGCTGGAAGGGAAGTGGGGCTGCCAGGATTAGAACCGGCGCCCATATGGGATCCCGGGCGTGCAAGGCGAGGACCTAACCACTTGCGCCACCGCGCCGGGCCCCAATTGCATTTTTAAAACATGATATTCATACTCTAAGTTTCAGGTTAGTGCTACTTTATGTTTAAAACTTTCTTGAAGATTCTAATAAGTACTAAAATCCCCTCCCCTTTCACATGACACATCTAGCTTATTAACTGTTTTTAAGATTTGTTTATTTTTATTGGAAAGCCAGATATACAGAAAGGAGGAGAGACAGAGAGGAACATCTGTCGGATGTTTCACTCCCCAGGAGGCCGTAACAGCTGGAGCTGAGCCATCGGAAGCCAGGAAGCAGGAACTCTTATGGGTCTCCCATGCTGCTGCAGCGTCCCAAGGCTTTGGGCCGTCCTCGACTGCTTTTCCAGGCCAAAAGCAGGGAGCTGGATGGGAAGCGGGGTTGTCAGGATGAGAACCGGAGCCGACATGGGATCGCATGTATTAGTGGGGATTGTTCCAGGGATGCAAGGATGGCTCAACATGCTGAAGTGCATTTTCATGATGCACCACATCAGCAGAATGAGGGGTAAAAGGTGAATGATCATTTCAACAGACACAGAGAAGTTACAGCAGAGGCATTTTTACAAATATTAAACACCAGCCCAGAATAATCTGAAAATTTATCTTGACAACATAAAGGCGACCATATATGAAAACCAAATAGTTACTACCATATTCAATAAAAAAAGTAAAGATTTTCTGTTATAATCAGAATAGCATATAAATATCACCCTTGCCACTTTATTTAGCAAAGCAGTAGAATTCCTAGTCAGTGTAATTATGTTAATTAAGAAAAGTAAACAAAATTGACACTGCTATTTTGTTCTGAGTATGATATGATGGGCTAAATTATATCTATTTAGCTAAAATATGTTTTTCCCACTAATTCCATATATTTCTGCTTAATTATGTAGTCCATTAATGGATAGACTAATTTTTATTAAAATAATTCCTAATTACATTGATTTGTAGTTAAAACTATCAAACAGTTAAGTAAAATATGACATAGAAGTTTTATCAGTTCAGGCCTAGTGTAGTGGCTCAATTGGCTAATCATCCCCTTGCAAGCTCTAGGATCCCATATGGGCACCTGTTCATTTTCCGGCTGCTACACTCCCCATCCAGCTTCCTTCTTGTGGCCTCGGAAAGCAGCAGAGGATGGCCTAAAACCTTGGAACCTTACAACTATGAGGAAAGAAGAAGCTCCTGGCTCCTGGCTTTTAGTCTGTCCCTGCTACAGCTGTGGTAGTCCTTTGGGAAGTGAAATCAATGCTTTAAAAAATAAATTGTTTAGCATCTTAAAATATTGTTATCATTCACGAAGTTAAATACATTCCTAAGTGATAATTCTTTTAAAATAGCAAGTGAGTCTTCAATGAGTTCATTGAAATATGAATTATTTTTAATTTAGCTTTTCTATAATTTTTTAAAATAATTCCTCATAATAATTGGATGTGATAGGTAAAGAATAATTTGTTCAGCAAAAATACACAGATTCTGTGAATTTTTATGGTTGCAAACATTGCAAGTTAACCAAAATAAATTCATTTAGACATTTTGAATGTAAAATACACGCTTACATTGAAGGTGAGTAATTTTGCTCATCCCTTGCCTGAAGTTACATCATTCTGATTCTATAAAAAACCGTTCCCTGCATTTTCAGAAAATCTTACGAAAGACATTGGCATTTTTGTGGCTCATCATATTAATCTAGTATGTTCTCACTCAAAACAGCTTCCATAGAGAACTAGAGGCATGTTCAACAGGGAGGAGGGGCCACAGAACATGAGAGCCTACTTTACCAAAGAAGGAACGAGGAGGCACAAGATGGAGCTAGAGTAGGTCTGTCTCCTCACTCCCACCTTGTCTTTCAGGGCAACTTGTCCGAGAGCATCTTTTACATCATGCTTTTGTCCTACCCAACAACCTCCACCGGCTCCATCATGCTCACAGGAGCAGGTTCAAACTGCTCTCTCTGCCACTAAAGGGCCCTCTTATTTGGCTACGTTCAATTTGTTTCATTTTCTGGTTCTTCCAGAAACAAATCTTGGAGTCATTCTTATCTGCCTTTTCTCTAATATCTGACAGCCAATCTTCAAAAAAATGTACTGAGTCTAATTTCAAGATAAATCCCAAATCCAACTGTCTTATCATCCTCCTCCTCACCGTGGCAGACCATGTAACTACCACCGCGTTTGTGGGTACCATTGAAATAATTGCCTAATCAGTTAAACTAATTTCATCCTTACTCTTTTTTTTAAAGGTCTTTTTTTTTTTTTTTTAAGAGAGGGATAAAATATCTTCCGTCTGAAGGTTTATTGCACTAATATCTTTACCCATCAGGGCTGAACTGGAAGGCATCCAGGGGCCTGGAACTCCAGGTCTCCCATGTGCGTGGCACTGACCCAAGTGCCTCCTGGGTGTGTGTTAGCAGGAAGCAGAAGTGGAAGAGGAACTTGAACGCGATATGAGTACAGGATGTGGCTGCCACAGATTCTGTTAACAGTAGTGCCAAATGCCCACCCCTACCCTTATACTTCAGAATCTTGCAAATCACACAGGCAAAGCATGCCTATAATGTCATGTATTTCTCTGTTAAAATTCCTTTAGTGTCCCCCTATATTAGGCAGGTAAAGTCTGAAGGCCTATCAGAGCCTAAAAGATATTACAAAATTTGGTCCCAGTGGTCACTCTGATTTTATCTCTTCCCACTCTGGTCATTTTGTACTAAATCTGTGTGTGTGTGTGTGTGTGTGTGTGTGTGTGTGTGTGTGTGTGTAATTTTACTAAGCGTGGAATCAATAAATTTATTTTAAAGTTATAATTTCCATTATCGCTCCATGAAGCATCAAGAGGAAAACCTCAAGTCTTACAAGAAATACTAGCTGAGATCCCTAGAAAGTGGTAATTTATTGGCTAAATCTTTGCCTTGCATCAGCTGGCATCCCATATGGGCATGTCTCGGCTGCTCCATTCCCTAGCTAGCTCCCTGTTTATGGTTTGGGAAAGCAATAAAGGATGGTCCAAGACCCTAAGATCCTGCGGCCACGTGGGAGACTCAGAGGAAGCCCCTGGCCACTGTGGAGTTGAAAACAAAATGGAGCTCATTGCTGGCTGTAATACTTTTCACTTTTGTAACTTCTGCTTTGCTTGCTTGGCCATGAAACTATGTGCGACTGTGTGAGGCTCGCAGACCCATCTGCCTATGTGACCTTCAGCACAGATAATTCTCAGTTCCCGGGAATCAGTATCTGAGGCTGGCTATTTCACAGGTGGCTCCAAGGCCTAAGTCTGCGTATCTTAACTACAGGCTGTCCAGCCACAACAAGCTTGTGTAAATTGCCCCTATAAGAACCCTGTAAATGTGCTCTTTGGGGCCACACTCTTGTATGAGGTGTTAGTCCTGGTCGGCAGGTCAGTTGCCTTACCTATCACTGTAATAAAACTTTGTGAGCCCAACGCGACAGTGTAGTGGTTAAGGCACTCGCCTTGAACGCACTGGGATCCCATATGGGCTCTGGTTCTAATCCCAGCAGCTCCACTTCCCATCCAGCTCCCTGCTTGTGGCCTGGGAAAGCAGTCGAGGACAGCCCAGAGTCTTGGGACTCTGCACCCGTGTGGGGACCAGGAGGAGGTTCCTGGTTCCTGGCTTTGGATTGGCACAGCTCTGGCCATTGCAGCTCCTTGGGGGGTGGATTATCGGACGCAAGATCTTCCTCTTTGTCTCTCTTCTTCTCTGTACTTCTGTCTTTCCAATAAAAATAAAAATGTTAAAACAAAAACTGTGTTGTTAGTGCCACTGGTAAGCGTAACATTCTGTTTTAGTGGCTGACTGGATACAACACTCCAGGCTTTGGATCAGCTCAGCTCCTGGCAGATGCAACTACTTAGGGACTGAACTAGAATGGAAGATCTTTGTCTCTCTCTCTCTCTCTTCTTTTCTCTGTAACTCTGCCTTTCCAGTAAAAAATAAATTAATTAATTAATTAATCTTAAAGAAAACAAAAAGAAATCCCAGGAGTATTAACATTGCAGTTGAAAATGCAGTTTCTGAAGAAACATAGTGTTTGATATATTTTACTATTGAAAATTTAAGTTTTCAATGTCAGTTCAAATTCTCCTAAGGGTTTTGAAAAATTAACTTAAAAACATAACAATACAGACATCAAAGACTTGATATTTTCAGAGATGAGAGCTTATTATGAGCCTGAATTATATAGGATTATCCGCTCTTAACTTTCGTAATATCTCCAAAAAACAAAGTCTGAGGGAAGTGAGCCCTTCTTTTTCCTTTCTTTGAAGTAAAATAATAGCTAAAACTTAATAAAAAATTGATTTTACTTTATCTTCTCTTTAAAGATGCACCCTATGAAAGCCTCCATACTGGGTTTTTAATCCTTTAAAAATATTTAAAAAAAATATGAAATTAGCTAATGCAAAATTGAGTAGTAAGTATCTTCATATAAACTTTTGTTATTTAAAACAATTTTTTTTTCTTTTTTTTTTTTTTTTTTTTTGCTGTCAATGTATCCAATACTGAGGTTGGCTAAATGGAACCTTGAAAGTATAAATGATCTCTTATAGTGAACACATCCTTCAATTTATGGAAAAGTAAATGCAAATTTTGGACTGGCACATGGCAGAGCAGAATAAACCTTGGTCTGAAGCATCTGTGTCCCACATGAGTGCCAGTTCCTGTCCAAGCTGCTCCTCCTGGGAAAGTAGTGGTCACTGTTCCAAGTCCTCCACGATATGGGAGACCCAGAAGCTTTGGGTTGGCTCAGATCAAACCACTGCAGCTCCTTGAGCAGTAAACTAATGGGTCTCAAGCTCTCTTTCAATTTGCAACTCTGCCATAAAAATAAAGAGTTAAGATATAAATCTTTAGTGCCCAGCACAGTAACCTAGCAGCTAACAGCCTCACCTTCATGTGCCAGGATCCCATATGGGAATTGGCTCGTGTCCCAGCCGTTCCACTTCCCTTTCGGTTCCCTGACTGTGGCCTGGGAAAACAGTCAAGGACAGCCCAATACCTTCCTGGGAGACCTGGAAGAGACTCTTGGCTCCTGGCTTCGGATCAGCTCAGCTCCTGCTGTTGCCGCCACTTGGAGAGTGAACCCGTGGACATAGATTTTAACTCTCCTTCTCTTGGTAAACCTGACTTTCTAATGAAAATAAATCTTTAAAAAATTTTTTTTAAAATACACATTTTTGCTGTATAACTCCTTTACATCAATTACATCCACTTGATTGTACAAAGCTTTACCATCATCCATCTTCAAAACTTTTTCCAAACTGAAATTCCATGCATGGTGTAACATCATGTATCAGTACCCATCCCAACAGCTTGTGGTAAGCCCTGTTCTTCCTTTCTCTATGAGTCTAACCGAGGTTTCTCACGTCAATGCACCTATGGCACACTCTTCTTTGTGCCTGGCTTATTTTACTTAGCCTAATGTTTTCAAAGCTCATTTATATTGTATTATCAGAATTTCATTCCTATTTAATCCCAATCACTAGCCTACTATATGTACATACAGCTCTTTGTATATCTATTCATCACTCAGTGGGCACATCAAGTGTTTTTACTTTTTGACTATTGTGAATGCTATAAGTATTAGAATTCCTGCTCTCACTTCATTGCATCTACAGATAACGGTGACATTATTGGGTCATGTGGGAATTCTGTTTCAGGTTTTCAAGACCTGCTAGACGTACGCACATTTTGCATTCACGCCATAATGGGCAATGAGCCTAGTTTTGCTACATTCCTACAATATTTGCTACTCTGCTATTTTTTTTTCCTTGTGGTAAGAACTCACAAACTGGATTTCCCTATATTCAAGATCACTGATCAATGCATTGTTTATTGTGGGATCTAACACAGATGTTTATTAATAGGAGGTACAAAAATAAGCAACGGGGATGTGTTTTCCAGGCTTTGACTGCAGAGCTGACAAACTGACAAGGATAGTGGTTGACATGGGGAGGGACAGAAGCAAAAGGAAAAGGAAATTTTTTCCCAGATTGTCTTCTTAAAAAGTTTTAATTAAAATAAACAGACGCAGTTTCCTACATTCCATTGGTATGGTTCCCAGAAGACAACCATGCTTTCTCCCCATCTCCTTTCAGTTGCCTTCCTCTTCTTTTCAATAGTTTTTGAAAAGGCATAAGCTAAATGGATTCTATATTTAGCGATTTAACTCACCACTAACCATCCTATTACATAAGTAAAAAGTAGAATACTGTAGTTACAAAGGATCATAAACAAGGGCTAAAACAATTATGTCACGAGAGGTCCATTTCATTCCTAGACATATTTAAATTGTATATTAACTGGCACGTATCAGTGAAAACATGATATTTGTCTTTTGGGATTGGTTTATTTCAGTAAGCAAAATGGTTTCAAGCCCATTGTGTTGCAAAGGATAAAATTTCATCCTTTTAATGACTGTATATGTGTGTGTACATATATATATATATATAAACCTATGTATATATATATATATTTGTCCAGTTATTTGTTGGTGGATATTTACATTGATTCCAGATCTTAGCTACTGTGAATTCAGCTGTAAAATAACTCTTTACTTTGTTGATTTTGATTTTCCTAGGGTAAATTCCCAGGAGATGAATGGTTGATTGTAGGTCAATTTTCAGATTTCTGAAGAGTCTCGCAGCTTTCATCCCTAAGAGTTGTACGAATCTATATTCTCACCAAAAATAGATTGGGGTATCTCTTCACCACATCCTCACTAACATTTTATTTTTTTTCTTCTTCCTCTTTTTTTTTTCTGATTATAGCCATTCTAACTAAGATGAGGCAAAACTTCTTTCTGGATTTTATTTTCATTTACATAATGAGAAATGATCCTCATTATTTTTTCATGTGTCTGTTGATCATTCCAGTTTCATCCATTGAAAGTTACCTGTTCATGACTTTTATCCATGTTTTAATTGGATTGTTTGTTTTTCTGTTGTTGAAGATAGATTTTTTTTTTGTTTGTTTGCTTTGTTGCTTGGATACTTCTAGATCCTGGAAAGTAATCCTTTATTGGTGGCAGAGTTTGCAAATGCATTCTTCTATTGTGTTTTTTTTTTTTTTCTGGCTTATCACTTCATTGGGGTGTCTCCTTTGTAGTGTAGAAGCTTCTTACCTTGATGTAATCTCTCCCTCTCTCTTTTTTCTTTCATTTTCTGTACTTCTGGGATCTTCATGGAAGTCTTTGCCAA